ACATAAAACACAAATAAAAAAAATTTGTGTGATAAATTAAAAATTTTCACAAAATATAAACAAGAAAGATAATGCAAAATAATTTAAAAGCCTATCACCATCTAAAGAATCACAGAGATATTAAAAAATTGAAAAATTTTTTTTGTTAGAATATTGAATTTGAAAGGAGAAAATATTTTAATAGGAGTTAAAGTAGTAGAATCCACTAGTAATGAATGGAAAAACGTTATTAATAATTCAGGGCAGATACAAAGTAACAGAGAATCGCAAGATACACATTTTTCTATGGCGACATCTTTTGGAATTGGCAGTTATCAATACCATTAAGATTCCTACATTTATTCCTGAATTATGAGAGAAAAAATAAATATTGGGAAGATGTAAAGATGATCAAAAAACTTATGATAAATTTTTAAGATAATTATAAAAATCTAAACTGTTTTTACTTTAATTTATTATGGTAATTTCATTTCAAAATTTTGAGAAAAAAAAAAAAGTTCAATTACTTAAAAAGTATAATTCAACAACATATAATGTGTTATTAAAAAAATTTATTTTTTGAAAATAATACCTTAAATTTTGAAAAAAATTTGCTTTTAAACTTTCAGTCACTCAAAATATAATATTTTTAAACTAGGATACAAAAAAAATGAACAAAATGAACAAAAATAAATAAATTAGTTTGAAAATTGTAATAAAAAATAATTGGATTATACCTGAACTTTGTTAAAAATTTTCTGTTTTAAATACTTAAAATGACTTAAAGCTTATTATAATTACATTAATTCCAACTGAATCATAATTGAAATACAGGTGGAGAGTGATTGACCTATAAATCATTATAATTTTTTAGAATATTTTTCATGGGTACATTTTTTTTTATTATTCATGGGTAAAAATTTGGAAAAAAAAATATAGTAAGTTATAAGTAAAATTTTTTTTACACAAGATTTTTCTTGAAAAAAACATCCTTTTTCTAGAATTTCATTATTTACCTCAATCTAAATTCTATGAATGTACTGTTTTTCATATTAACAATGGGTAACAGGGTAAAATGATCACAAAATTTCAAAGAAAAATTCACAAAGAGTAGTATAAAACAAAAATATGGTGAATCATCAACAAGGTCACAATTTCAAAGTAGCTAACCCACATAAATCTAATAATAAATAAGATTAATTGAAGAAAATTTTATTAGTTTCCTATTTTATTTAAAATAAAAACTCAAACTATTATTTATTTATAGAAGCCTATTTTGCTAATTGTTAAAATAATGGACTTTTACAGATTAACAAAAATTAAATAGTTAGGCATTTAAAAATAAGAATCGTTCAGATGATTTTCAATGTAAATTCAAGTAAGTTATTCATAAAAAATTTTACAAAATAAACTTGATGTTTAAGTATCGCTACACAGGTTCATTGTAAATAATTATCAAAGACATTTTAAGCAAAATACATATACAATTTCCAATGTATCAATGATTTAAATATATGATATGACTTTACAAACTAAATGATTTGTGAAAAATTTTTTTTTTAAGATGTGCCACAGTTTGCCAGGAAAGTATTTCAAAAATTTTTCCTTGGGGTTTTAAAATATTAATCTCTGCCATAATGTAATAGAATCAATAAGTATAAAGTAATTATTTAAAGTAATAACATATGATAAAAGAATAACATTGGATCCAGGTCAATTTGATTTTTTTATATTATAATTACGACATTAAATACTAAAAATGAAACTTCAACTTTTTTGATTAAATATATAATATAGTTTGATATAAGAATTTTCTATGTAATAACTAAATTGGCAGTAAAATTAGAACAATACTGAAACAGTCCAAAAATAAAAAAAATTTCTTACCAGTTTGATTCATGTAGTGATTCAATTTCTGAGCAGTCAATGAATTCGTCATCGCCTTCATCACTATACATGGAATCACTAATATTATTATCATAGTTTTCTTCAAGTTTAAACTTGGTATTTTCGCTATTAAAATCTACCTCAGACACAAGACTTCTAACTTTTTCTTTCAATTCCTTTATTTGGAGAAAACTACTCTTACTGTCTAGATTTTCCTGATTCATGTTTATTTTCCTCAATATAAATGCTTACAAACAAATGAAAAATACATATCAATAAACAAATAAATTATTATTAAAAACAACAGTCAAAAAATTTATTGTTTTCTATTAATTATATTAACGTGTACTTTTAGATTCACTTCGAAGGAGTAATACAATTAAGCCAACCCAAAGCATAAAATGTCAAAGAACCGTTGAACGGTGCTACCAACATTATTGAGAAATGAAACTATACAAAAAGTAAATAACTTTTGCGTTCTTAATGAATATTAGCTTTGAAAAATTCTTACATATTATTATCATTTAGGTTTTATAAAAAAAAATTAATTACTTATTAAAAGTAGCTTCTTACATAATTTAATTACAATTATAAAATTAATTTTTAAAAAATTTGTATTTTAATACTATTTTTTTTTTAAAATCAGAACTGCAACAAAGATAAGGGCAACTTTCACCCCTTTTAAGTTTTATTCATATACTCCTTATGTAAAAGTTATATACTACGTAATGCTATAATACTTTAAACAATTATTACTTTCAGGTTTTAAATAAAAATTTTCCAGCTTACATAAATTCAAGTTGCATATATATGAAATTTTAAAGTGTATTTATTTTTAGAATGTCATGTTTAACCAAAAGAAAATAATATTAAAATATGTCCTTTAAAAAAAATAATTAAAGTATTCCGTTTTATTGTAGTTTTTATGCACTTTCTGTTTGCTAAGAATTTCACCGAAATTTTTTAAAAATAAATTTTCATACAATTAAAGTTAAATAAAAATAAATACCAATTTGTTTATTTTTATTCTAAACACTTAAATAATTAAATGTATAGTAAACATAAAATAAAATTACTTCTATGATCCCAGCATTCAAAAACATATATATTTAAATATATATATATATATATATATATAAATTTAATATTCATATGCATTCGTTCACCATTTTACTATCAGAGATTAAATATTATCCTTCAAAATTTTTATACTTTTTTAATTTTCAGTTGAAATTAAAAAAGTTTATGAAGTTGAAAAGAGGTTGGTAACCCATATATTTCTTTCTTGTTTATGAAATTTCCTTAGTGACCATTTGTTTTGATTACAATTCGGAGCAATGATTTTAGAATTATTGAATTTTGAATTTTGATTTTTAATTTCTTAAAGTTCCTTGTTTCTTCTTATTTCAATACTTTATAAAATGTCGGCAGCGGTATCTAGACAACAAAAATTAGAACAACAAGTAAGTTTGAAAAAAGTAACCTAAGGTACTATATTTTATTACATCTTTCAATGATTTAAACAATTTATTTTTTTATAGCGTCAGTTAATGGAACAAAAATTACGTCAAAAAAGACAAGCTTTAGGAATGGTTCAAGCATCAGATCGACCTAAACTTCGTAGTGCAGATTTACGTCCAGGATCAGCTTCATCAAAGGGAAGACAAATGCATGGTAATTAAAAAATAAATTTTTAATTACTTATGATTCTTTTATTTATTTATTTTTATTAGTATTTTTTTTAGATAATAATCCTTATTTTGAATTTTTTAAATTCTGTTTTATCTATTTACATAAAAATTTTATTATATTATTAAAATATGTAAATCAAACCGAAGGTAATCATAAAAAACCTTTATTTTCTTCAAAAGATCATTATTTTTAAATAATTTTTTTTTTAAAGAGAAAAACCATTTTATCATTTAAATTAAATTTTTGCACTCTTTCTTACTTAAGATTTATTGCTTGTATTAATTTAATACTGAAAAAAAAAAATTTATTGAGAGTTTTTAAAAATTATCCCGGGGTACACGTAAAGTATTGTTTTAAAATTTTCAGTGTTTCATGTCTATATCTATTACATATGACATAATCTTTTCAAATTTATTTATTTTACTTTTCTTAATGATATAAATTAATGTAAGTGTTTTATTTTATTTATAGCTATGTCATACAATAATTTATCTTCTCAAAAATTCAAAATACTGAAAAATGTCGTACTTATACATTTTAACTTGATATTTTTGAATTATAAATGGCTGTTTTTTGATTATACTATTATAAATGTGAAACAAAATTCAAATTACAAATGTTTAAAAGTATATTATGTAAAGATATTAAATGTTATGAAAAAGTGATAATAACAAATTATTATTTTATGTTAGAATTTAAAATTTACTTTATCCATTTTTTTATAGGTTATGATGGGCCACTTCAGTTTACAATGCCTGTTGGTAATCCAGACTCTGTACTTTCAATGCACAGCAATACTATTTTAGACAGTAATGAAGACTTAGATATATTAAACCTAGAAACTTTGAATGAAGAGCACAATAGAGGAATGGAAGATGAGGAATCTACACCAGTTCTTCCTCAAACACCTAATAGTGATCTTAGTTCATCAATGGGTGTCATAGTTGACTCTCCAAATTTTAATCAATCTGCATTAAGAGTAATATAATATGTTTAATTTTTTTTTATAATGATGTAACAAAAAAACACAGATTTTCAATTAAAAATGTATTAATTCATATTTATTTTACAGAGCCCTGAATTAGAAGGAGACATATCTGGAAATTTAGATTCATTTGTTTTGAAACCAGCTGTACCAAAGATGCATTTTAAGTGTAGAATAACAAGGGATAGAAAAGGAATGGATAGAGGCTTATATCCTACCTATTTTCTTCACCTTGAAAGAGATTATGGCAAAAAAATATTTTTGCTAGCAGGAAGGAAGCGCAAAAAAAGCACTACATCTAATTATCTTATATCTACTGATCCAACAGATTTGTCAAGAGGAGGGGAGGCATTTATTGGTAAATTGAGATCAAATTTATTGGGAACTCAATTCACAGTTTATAATAACGGAGCTTCACCAAAACATTCAGATGATAGCACAACAAGACAAGAACTTGCTGCTGTTGTATATGTGAGTAGGAAATTTTTTCTGAGTACATGTTTTTTAATTTTTATATTTATTGGAAAAAAAATGCTGTTACATTAATTTATTCTCTCAATTTGGTTTAATAACATTTTTCTTAAAGGATACTAATGTTTTGGGCTTGAAAGGCCCTAGGAAAATGACAGTTATTTTGCCTGGAATGACACAAGATCATCAAAGAGTATTAATTACTCCAAGCGATCAGCATGAAACATTAATTGAGTGTTGGAAAACTAAAAATATGGATAACTTAATTGAACTTCATAATAAAACTCCTGTTTGGAATGAGGAAACTCAATCTTACATTTTGAATTTTCACGGCAGAGTTACTCAAGCATCAGTTAAGAATTTTCAAATTGTACATGATAGTGATGGTAAGTATAAAATCCTATGTTTTAAAAATAATTTTTACCCAATAAAATTATATATAAAAACCAATAAATTTGTATAAAATAAGATCAAACTAAGTAAAGTTTCTACAAAAAAATAAATAAATCAGATTAAAATTTTTAATAAAAAGAATATTGTAGTTATTATTTTAATTCATGTTTTAATACAAGAGTTTGTATGGGAAAAATTTAAATGGGTAAATTCAATGAGTTACCACAGTTTTAAAAATACTTTTTATATTGTTTTATTTCAATATTTTGTTCTCATTTTAATTTTTCAGTGGAGTATGTTGTTATGCAGTTTGGCCGCGTTGCCGAAGATGTATTCACGATGGATTTCAGGTATCCATTGTGCGCACTGCAAGCCTTTGCGATAGCTTTGAGCAGCTTCGATTCAAAACTCGCATGCGAATAATAATTATTTTGTATTAGGTTTTTTTTTGAAAAACATATCATTTATTTCTTATTTAATTTATATTTTCAAGAAGTAAACCTCGGAATTCAGTTTGTGTAATGTTGATGACTGCCTTAAAGTATTTTTAAGATGTATTGTAGCCAGTGTAGTAGATATTTATTCAATGTATAAAAAAAGTTTAATTTATAACAGAAATTATACAAATTACACCAAATATAAATGAAAATGTGTGTTCTGTTTAAGTAGATATTATTTCAATTTGTTATAATGGAAATATGAAGTTTAAACAACCAATGTTTATTGTAGCAAAACAACAAATTACTCAATTATTAAATAACTAATAATAGTCAAAATTATGTAATTAAACATTGTTTTTTTGTTCATGTATTAGAATTTGTTTTATGATAAAAAATAATTTTAAAATTACAATTAAAAAATACTTCAAACGAGGAATCAACGTAATGGAAATTTGAATGCAATCATTAAATCATGTTGCAATCCTCAGACTCAACCGTTGTTATATGATAACTCTCGAACCTAAATATATTTAAATTAAAAAATTTATACTTTTTTTATTGATACTATATGTTTGTGATAAATAAATACTACCTGACTTTCACTTTTATGTATAATTTTGCAAAACTAGTCATATATTTTATAATGATCAGTTTTGAGTTCATACTATTTGAGTATAATAGAGTACAATGAAATATTTATATTGTAATTAATTTTTTTTAATGATCGTACATTAAAAAGCCAGCTATTCCTATAATAGGAGTATAACTTGCTGTTAAATTTAAATACTTGCAAATTGAATGGGCCTTGACGAAACGAGAAATAGTTATTTCTCCTAAAACATCTTTTCTTTTTTTTTTTTAACCGAAAAAAGCCTTTATCACAAACTTTAATTAAATTATTAAAAAATAAAATGATATTATGGAAACACAATTTCTCTCCTTATGATTACTTATTTAATAATACAATATAATTTTCTAAACTTGATTTAAAATTATTAATTTTTTGCTTATTAAATAATTTCTTATTATTTTAAAGTAAGAATAATTTACGTATATATTAATTTGTAATTATTGTATACTAACTTAACTAACAGCACTTTACTAAATAATATATTATTATTATATATTATTATAATATTTTACATATGTAGTAGTACATTAATAAATATTAAAATTACTTTTTTTAAACAATTATAACTTATTCTTAAAGTTCTTAATGTAAAATAAAGTTTTATCTTGTTGTTGTGGAAAAAGTTAAACAAACGGCCATACTACCAACCTAAAACACGTAAACAGTTTTCATTAAATAACTATGGGTGCCATTTTGTTCGCATTCGGTTTATATATAATCAGAGGGACTTCACATTGTGATTTCCCGCTATTGTAATTTTTTTTTTTTTTTACAAAAAAAAAAAAATATTTTTAAATATTATAATTTTTTTTTTTTTACACTAATTAGAATAATTAGGCTTTATCTTTATTTTAAGAGTATGATTTAAAAAACAGTGAAAACTGAATCCTGACAGTTTCGATTCATCCTGAACGTTTTCTATTCGTGAGTATTTTCTAATTAATAAAATTTTTTAAATCGTTGTAAACTTTTTTAAATATAAATACTATTTCTTTTCATCTAAAATAAAATGAATTATTTCTCTTGTTTAAAATTAAAGTTTTTAAACTGATAAAATATTTTAAATGGAATTTTAAACAAAATTTAAAATTGCTTGTAAGTTATTAATAAACAAAATGATTTTATTCAAAATTAAAAAGAATTTTCATTATTCCGAAATGAATATACATTCACTTGTTAAGGGAATGATAACCTAAATAATAAGGGACAATTTTTTTCGCTGACTACTGAGCCAATAAATTATACTTTTAATAAACTTTTAATCAACCTTTTTCATTTTTATTAATTGTAAATGAAAAATGTTGTTTACACATACAAATAATGTTATGGGTAATATTATAAATTTCTTTTTTAGGTTTATTAAATCAACTTTTGTTAAAGTTACATTATTTACATTATAATATACCAAAATAACCAGTGTAATGTGTAGTAATAAATGAAACTGTTCTATGCAATTTCAATTTTTGAAAAAAAAATTAAGGTTTTATAATATAATTTAAAATTTATGTAATTAATACTTTTTATATTATAAAGAAATGTAATGAATTATTTTTTAAAAGCTCAAATAAATGAAATTTTGTAATTAGTACTACTGCTAATATCTTCAAATTAATTTTTATATAAAAAAATGAAATGCTGTAAAATTTAATTGCAGTAAAATAAACTACAGTTGGGATGGATGAGTTAGAGAATTGTAAATTGTCTTCCAATATAACTGTGGAACCACTACCTTCTTCTTCATTAAAATGCAGCAGCTCTAAATCACCAAATGAAATACCTATTTTAAAAAGTGAAGATTCTTCAGAAATTGATGAAAATATCTCAGCATTAAAATTTACAGGTTTGACATTTTATATTAATTTTATTTCTTTTTAAACTATTGATAAGTAATGAAAATTATACTGAGTTTAAATACAAATTGTGCTTGCTAATAAAATTTATTTTGTTAATATTTACTAGTTTTATATGTATTTATAATTTATATGCTCATATAAATTATGCCTGATTTTTAATTTATTTTACAAATATAAAATTAAATGCAATTGTATAATCTGATCTACAAATTTTAATTTTAATAATGAAGCACTTTTGGTTTTTTAATTTTATCTAAATCTTTCTTAATTATTTTAAAAAATAATTTTTTTGATGTTTACATTTTATTCAACAGAAACTGTTTCATCTCTTGAAAATAGTCCAGAAGAAAATCTTACCCTGGGTTTACCTGAATGTGATGATCTAGTTTTAGAAAAAACTTGTGATGAGCCTGATGAGCCATCTAGCAATCCCTGGTCTCGAGTCAAATGTGTTTTCTGTCAACAAATATTATCACCCTTGTATGAACCAAAACTATTAGAATGCCTTCATGCTGCCTGCGGAGTGTGTGTGAATAGTAAACTTCAAGATCAAGAGCAAACTGATGGAGATGTTATTGGTTAGTTTATTCTATTTTTAATAATATTGTTTAAATTATTATATTTTACACATTACTGAACGCCAAATAGCAAATTACAAAGTGTATGTATTTATCAAGTTGCCACAATGAAAATTGGAAAGAGACTTTTAAAATTTTTGTCTAAGCGCCTAACTGAAAAAAGGAATTTAAAACTTTCCTTTGTTTTTTTTTTTTATTTAGCCGAAAGTAGCGTTGAATGCCCCACGTGTAATGTTATATGCAGCTCCGAAAATGTCATAGACAATCAATTTTTGTTAGAAACTGATACAGATATTGAATCTGGAGCTGGAGAATCATCAATAAAAAATCAGGATATTAAATGTTCTAGTTGCAATGATGATGCTATTGCCACTAGTTGGTGTGTAGAATGTGCGGAATTTATTTGTGATTCTTGCGTTCAGGTTGGTTTTATTTCTAATAAAAAATATACTTACATTATAGTTGTTTTAAGTTTAATTTAATTTTTATGTTATTTTAATGATAAGGCACATCAAAGATTGAAAATAACCAAAGATCACACAATTAAGCCAAAAGAGGAAGCAGAGTCTGAAGCCCAAACTTCAACGATTAGTGGTAGTAAAATAATTTACTGTTCAGTTCATCCTCAGGAACAATTGAGCTTGTTTTGTGAAATATGTGACAAATTAACATGTAGGGATTGCCAGCTTAGTGATCACAGAGATCATAGGTACAAATTTATCCATGAAATTGCTTCAGAAACTCGATCTATAATATCAGGTTTGTAGTCTTTAATTTCTTTGATTTTCTTACTTTCTTTTTTTTTTTCTTTTAATATAAACATGATTAATTTCATGCAGGATTACTAAGTGAAGTATCTTACAAGAGAGTTTTATTAAAGTCTGCTATGAAAGTTATAGATGATCGCAAAAATTTAATAGCTGACAAAAAAAAAATTCTTGTCAAAGAAATAACCCAAATGGTTGTTCGTCTGACAAACACAATTAACGCTCGAGGAAAACAGTTGGTTTTGGGACTAAATGAAGTTTGTGATGTTAAGCAAAAGACACTTTGTGAAAAAAAAGAAGCTTTGGAACAATTATCTCTTTTAACTGATCATTGTATTGATTTTGTCAACAACGCTTTAAATAAAGGAAGTGATAAGGCTCTTCTTTATAGCAAAAAATCTGTTACTGCTCATCTTCAAAGAATTAAAAGCCGTAGGGCTGATATTCCAAATCCTGAAATTCCTGTTCGAATTTCATTGATTTTTGAAAAAGTTCCTGAATTAATTAGAGGTACACTAAAAGTTATTTTAATCATTTTTAAAATTTATTGAAAATAAAATTTAAAAAAAAAAAATATTTTTATTTCAGTTGTGTCGTCAATTGGTGCAATTGTTGTGGATGGTAAAATATATCCTGCCCGAACACCTGATCAAAGAATTCATCCGGTACAGCCACAAAGTCAAACCGAACAAGAGCAATCAATACAATCTCGTCCGCAACAAATGCATAGTCCGGGATCTGGAAAATCTGTCATGAAATCGGATTTGAGTTCTCGGCCACAGGTATCAACATCCTTCGTTTCGACCCCGTCTGAATCTTTAAGTCAGGTGCGATCTACCACTGCATCAGTAACAGTGAATTCCCCTTTAACCAGGATTAATAGAGTCTCTCCAATAGGTGCTATCACACATCAGGTTAGTGATGCACCCGAGACTTGGCACAATAGCATGAAATATTTTGATAGTTATTACACTCCATTTAAACAAAAATGTTTTTCTATCTGTTTCATCCGGATAGGTTTATTGTTTTGAGATAGTATAGTTACAAATTAATTACTTTTCACAAATAGAAAATGTGATATCAGTGTGTCTTCAATAGTATTTCAGATAATGTTTTATTGAAAATTCATCCCGCTCTTGAATTTTTTTTATTCTTTTGAAATATATAAATTTCATTTATAGTAAATGACACAAATCAAATGTGCCCAAGGAGTGAATGAAAAAAATACCATGTCCTAAAAGGAAAGTGTAAGCGCGCGTGCGTGTGCATGTGTGTGTGTATGTGCAAACGTGCAATTATTAAATTACTTATAGATATATTTAAATCAAAACCGATTCTTGTGACTTATAAAAAATTTAAAAAAAAAAAGGAATTTTTCCAATTTTATAAATTTTCTATTATATCACTTTTTATTATTTATATGTTTTTAACAATGTTAAAAAACAATTTGTTTTAGGTTGTTAGGAATATAAGTATGTTGAGAAATAACCAACAAGGACAATGTTTTAATGTACAACAATCAAATTATAATTCTCACCAGCAAATGTTGATTAATCCTCAACATCAACAGCCTCAAATATCTATTAGCCCCCATACAATGCATGGACCTCCTCCCCCAACTCTTCACTCCGGTTCTCAGCCTTCTATTTCCTTGAATAGTCCAAATTCTATTTCAAAACCAGGAATACCGCCTCATCTTACAGTGGGTATACGTCATCACAATCCAACGCAGCAGGTATTCATTCATTCGCTCTATTTTTTTTTTTTTTTTTTTTTTTTTTTTTTTTAAAAAAATTTTTATATACAAATATTTAATAGTATTAATTATGAATTTGTCCTTTTTCATAATTCAGTACACTCAGGTGACTTCTAGTACTCATCCAAGCTCGGATCCTAATATTAAAAATCTTCTTCAGCAGGCATCCAACATTCAGCCTATTTATGGTTCGGGCGGGCAAGTTTACAGAGTGAACGTAAATTCTAACGTAGGTCAATATAAAAATCAGCAAAACTATACTCAAAATCAAGTGGTACATACTCTCAATCGAATTCATCAAAACAATATATTTAATGTGCAACCGCAAAACTTGATGCAACAAATTAGGCATACAATAAGAACTCAGCAGACAATTCCACCAGCTCCTTACACTCAATCTCAGCAGATAGCTGGACCTCAGTGGCACATTCCTCAACAACAAGGTTGTTTGAATTTATTATTTTATTATAGTACAATATAATATTCTTACTATTGTTTTATTTGAGTAATCGTAATTTAAAAAAAAAAAATGTTTTTTTAACAGGTTCGTTTAATTCATCCAGACCGACGCCTCCATCTATTCCAATTGACGAATCTTTTAAAATTCACCTTAAAACTCAAAATAGTTGTCTTGGTGGAAATAATGGAGAAATGAGAATGACAACATCTAATTCTGCAGTTACATCTTCAGCTTCTAAAACTCCTAGTCCAGGAACGTCAAAAGAAGATCCGAGTACAAGAATGGATAAATTTTGCCAGGTAAATAATAAATAGCCTTAATTTTTTTTTTTTTTGAATTCATAATTAAAAACTAACTTATTGATTTAAATTTATAGGATTCGGTTAATGATTTGATGACAACAATTGCGAAACTGGATAGCAACGGAATCGAAGTAATACCAGAAACAATTAAACAAGCCGCCGATTCATTAGTAGATAGTTCAACTTCTGGATTTTGTAATAATATCCAACAAATGGTGAAATCTTCTGACATGGTAAAAGAAGATTCAAACGAAGATTGGTGTGCTGTTTGCATGGATGGTGGTGAATTGATATGTTGCGATAATTGTCCAAAAGTTTTTCATGTGAATTGTCACATTCCTGCTCTTAAAGCAATGCCCGGGTAAGATTTTGAAAAAAAAAATTTTTTTTTTTTTTTTTTCCAAAGATGATTAATTTAAAAAATTAATTATCAATATTAATGTTGTTCACAGGGAAACTGAAACTTGGCAGTGTTTACTTTGCACAGACGTTGCTAATTTAGTTCCTCCAGAACAAGAAATGTCAAAAAAACGTGGGTTAACTTATAATGAAAGAAAATTAGCTGAAAGATTAGTTTTAGAATTATATTGCCAATATGAATCTAGCCTTCATTTTAGAGAAGTAAGTTTGTTTTTTTTTTTTTAAATTTTTTTCCCATAATTTTTTGTGAAAAAATAAATATCAATAAACATTATTTTAATTATAGTTAGTGAAAGACGATAATTTTGATTATCATGAGAAAATAAAAAATCCAATTGCTTTGGAAGTTGTAAAAAGAAAATTAGACCCAGATGATGTTGAACATTATTCAAATTTATCCGAAATTATTTTGGATATTAGGAGAATATTTAAGAATGCCAAAAATTACAATGTTGTAAGATAACAATTATGTTAACAATGTTTTTAAAATATAATTTGTAAAATTAAGGTACCATAAATGATAATAAAAATTTTTGTATTACAGAAGGAATCTCAAGTTTATCAGGACGCTAAAATTATGGAAGAATTTTTTGAACGATTATTAACAAGATGGCTTCCAGATTATGCTTTTGATCAATATTTTTCCGACGATGATCAACCGCCTGTTAAAAAATATAAAAAAATTAAAACTGGAGAGGATGAATGATACCACAAGTTAAATTTAATTTATAGATTTATTAAAATTTTCCTATAAAGTTTTAAAACTTTGAATCAAGTATCAAAGAATTTAAAAAATTGTTTGATTTTTATTTTAAAAAAATATCAATTGGAGGGAACATCCATATTGATTATCATTCATAGTGAAATTAAAATAACGGTAAACTCTTTTACATTGCAGTTAGTTAATTTTTATTAATTTTTTTTTTGTTTTTAAAGTCCGTTTTTAACTGAGTATCACCTGTGGAGAACTTAAATATAAAATTGCTTAGAAATATTTATAACTAATTTTTGCAAAGACTTTTAATGAAAATAGAAAAAAAATATTTATTTTTTAAATGAAAATTTAGTTAAATCAATTCTATTTATTTCTCATATACTTAAATAAAAAAATTTTAACTTTAATCGTTTTGCATTGACAACATTTTTTTTATACATATAGTTAATGGAAGAATTTATGTTTTAGATAATTAATAATTGCATTAGTTTTGAAAAGTAAGTTGGATTATAAAATTCTGCTATATTTCAATATCAAATTAAATACAAAGAAATTTATTTAATTTATTATGATTTTGTTCATTTTTTTATTTATGTAAAATTAAATGTCAGTTAATTTTTTTTTTTTTTTTAATTGTAAATTAATTAAGTTAAAATTCTGTGCACTGGTATAGTTACTAGTTATTTAGTTAGAATTTAAGCCTGTCAAGTACAAGAGTTATAGTTTTATTTATTAGCATTTCATTAAATTTTACTCTTATGTAAAATTAATGTGAATTTTTCTGGGTTTCAAAAAAAAATTATTAATTAAATATAAAAAATAAAAACTAATACAATTTAATGAAAATTTCGAAGAAAAAAAAAAAAACTTTTTAAAGTTATTACAATGTGTTACTAGCTTTTTTTTTTTTTCTCGTCTAACTTATTGTTGTTATTCACACAAAGATTGCCGTATTTGAGATTTTAAAAAAAAGATCGTTTGTAGTTGAAAAACTCAATTTTTTTTTAGTTTTTGTAAATATTTAATAAAATTTTTTTAAAAAGATTATGTAAAATGTGATTCATAAATAAATACATAAAAAATTTATTTTAAAAATATTAATTTAATTTATTGGTTTTTTTTTTTTTTTTTTTTTTTTGGATTACATACAATTTGTTCTTGATTTTCTATTCTGGCTAATTTAGCATTCATTTTTAATCCATGTCTTGCACCCTTATGTCCAGTTCTTCCTCCACAAATTTTAAATAATTCTTCATCTGTTAAATCTATAACTCCCCCATTTGCTTTTTTTTCCTTTTTCTCAAAATCTTCATCTTTTTCTTCAAATTCAACAATATTTTTTTCTTTTCCCTGGCTAAGTTCTGAGGTTTTAATAAAACCCTTGTAAACATCATTTTTATCACTTATTTTAGCTTTTTTTTTCTTTTGTCTATCATCGTTGGTTTCATCTTTTTTTTTTTTTTTTACAAAAACAATTTCATTAGAGTCTTTTTTAATTTCAATGCTTTTAGCAGCATCATCGTAGACTTTTTGCCACCATGTGTCATTTACATCAAATTGATTATGTCCTATTCCGGATTTATCAAATTTGAGTGTAGTTTTTATTGGTTTCGATATACCCGTTTTATTTTTACCAAGTCCATCTCCACTTTTCCAACCGTATTTTTCCAATTCTTTTTTAGCAAATTCCATTTTTCAACACTATTTAAAATGCTATACACATAAAACGTTCATCTAAGCATTAATACATAAAATTAATATTTACAGTACATTTTACCTATTTCAAATTAATTAAAAAACTAAATATATGATTTATTATTTTATCACAATTAAAATTAGCATTTGGGTAACAAGTTTTATTTTGTACAATATATACACTTTGTGAAAATATTTCACATCGATGCTGATTAGTTATAAAATTTATAAGCTAAACGTAGAATACTATTTTAGAACTTGACTTTTGCTGCAATTATTTATTTTTACATACACGTCCACATGAGGGTATGTTTTTTTTTTTTTTTTTTTTTTTTTTGTGAGTAAAAATTAAAATGTTTAAAAAGTAAGTTTTTAAGTAAACAGTTTTTTTTTTTTTAATTTATTGTTATAAATTTAATTTTACATTTTTAAGTAGTAACTTTGAAATATATTTTTTAAAAATAATTATTTATTATAGAAACATTTAGTGTAAAATAACCAGAGTATAATAATTGTCACCATCACGTTTTCCTAATACTAATTCTTTGAATTTATTTTGTTTTTTTTTTAGATTTAATGAAAAAGAAAGCGTGTCTGGAATCCAACAGCTAAAATCTTCCGTTCAAAAAGGCATAAAAGCGAAATTATTGGAACAGTTTCCAGATTTAGAATCTTATATTGATACAATTCTTCCAAAAAAAGATGCCTTTAGAATAGTTAAATGGTAATATTTTTTTTATGCTTATAATATTATTTACACGTAATAACACTAAACAATAATAATTATAAAAAATTTTTAATGTTTTTTTTTTTTTTATCATTTCTAGTCATGACCATGTGGAAATTCTTGTCAACAGTTCTGGAGAATTATTGTTTTATAGGCAGAGAGATGATATGTGGATGCCAACTTTGCGGTTGTTGCACAAATGTAAGTAAGAAAAAAAAATTTCATTATTCTTAATTATAAGAATTATTTTCTCTTTTTAATCGAATTAATTGACTAATCGAGTGTTTATTACTTTATACTCTCAAAACGATTATTTTAATAATAGCAATACAGAATAAAATTCATGAATTTTATTTTCAAAATATATATTTTTAAAACTTTGAGATATTTATATACTTTCATATCATTTCCATATTAATTAAGTAAATTTTTTTTATAGCATTCATATAAATTTTTGCCAATACGTAAAAAGTCAACTTTAAATTTTACTAATTTTTATGGTTATTAAGTAAATATCATTTGTTTTATATTTTAAAAGAGTTATAATGGTAATTAATAAACAACTGTATTTTTTCTATTACTTTTCTTATATACAGATCCATTTTTTTTGCCCAAGGAACAAGTAGATAAAGGTGCAATCAGGTTTGTACTTAGTGGAGCCAACATTATGTGTCCTGGCTTGACTTCTCCTGGTGCAAAAATGACACCTGTTCCAAAAGGAACAATAGTTGTATCCTTTTATTTATACTAAAAGTAAATTTAAAGTTTTAAACATAAAAATTTTCATTTTATAAATATCGGAACATACTTATTTAAAATATCTTTTTTTTTAATTATTGTATTTTATAAAATTAAAGAGGAGTCACATTTTTTTATTAGTTTTTTTTTTCATATTGCAAAATTATTTTTACTACTCTAGTTTAGACATGAAAAATATTGTAAATTTATTATTCATTTCCCATTAGAAAATATTTAAATAAATTTTCTTAAGGTCAGTTTAGGCTATAATGGCTGAGGGAAAGCAGCATGCATTGGCTGTCGGTATTACATCATTGTCAACTGATGAAATGTGAGTAGCGTAAAATTTTAGTATTTTATTTTATAAATATTATTAATGATACTTCTTTATATTTATTTTACCATATATATATATATATATATAAATGCTTTTTTAATTTTTTTTTGTAGATCAAAAGTAAATAAGGGTATTGGTATTGAAAATTGTCACTATCTAAATGATGGATTGTGGCAAATGAAACCTGTAAAATAAAAAAATATCTTTTGAAAAACTAAGGGAATAGACCAATGGATATTAAGACATGGTTTTTGAATTTAAATGTATTTTTTTTATATGTTTATGAAAGTGACTTTAACCAGGAGTGAATAGTTTTTGAGTGAATTTTATTTTTTATTTTTAAAAAAATTCATTAAATTTATTAGAATTTGTATTATTAAAACTTATTGGAACCTGAATACTAAGAAATGAACTTGCAAAAAATATATTCCCATAAATTTATCATTATTATTTTATAAAAAAGTATTTTGTTTTACAATGCTTTTAATAAAAAACAAATAAATTGACAAAAAATATCTGTATTGAACTATTTTTGTTTTACGTAAACTATAAATAGGTACTTAAATGAACTATGTGGCTATTATTATAAAAGTTTTTGTTTTCCCAATTAATCAAATTAAAAAAAAAAAAAAAGTGTGAATATTAAAAATAATAATTTAGGTATTTGGCATATTTTTTCGGTAAGTTAATTTAGAATCGATGGTTTTTAAATTCTGGTCTATTGGCTTCTCTTATAAACGTTTATTTTCATAATACATGATATAATTGATAATTACTATGTTTGCTTACTTTGAAAATGGTGTTTTTTGTGAAAGGTTCATTTTTTATTTCTGTTTAAAGCTTAAAATTTAATTTCAATAATTGTAATAAAATAAAGAATTGCAAATTAAAATTCATTAATTTTTAATTCATTATAGTTTCTTATTTGAAAGATTATTATTATTATTTATTTATTTTTTTTAAAATTTATTATTTTATTCTCTCTTAACCTATGTATATTAATTAGAATCATATTTATTTTGAATGATGAAAATGAAATTTTTTCATTAATCAAGTATTTGATATTAATAAATAAGAATAAGTAAGTATTTGTTTGTAAAAATAAAAATAAATACATCCAATATTAATATGGTAACGTAAATAATTATCTTAGGTAAATCATAGAACCAATGAAATATATTCACACATTTGTTATTTCTGTTTCAGTTAAATTTTAAATTAATATAAGCGCGTTCATTTTTTTAGGGTTGCCAACATTTGAAAATTCATTTTAAAAATTTCCGTTATTCTGAAATGAAAAATAATTTCAGTGTTCAAATGTAGATGGCGTTAACAAGTTGAAATTAAAATAAGCATTTTTTATTTATACGTTTTTTTTTATAAATTATTGGTAAAATATTATATTAATTGTATCTGATATGGTGTTTTATAATGAATTGTTAAAGTTAAAGTTTTTAAATAGTGTATTTTATTTTTTTTTTTTCGCGATTTTTAAAAAAATAGAATGTACCAAATTCTTTTGAACCGGTAATCCTTGGTTAAGTTGGGTGAATTGCAAATTAATATTTACCTTATGCTCGTAGAAAAAACGAACTTCTATTTCATTCACCTGTTTTCGTTTCAGTTTGTCATGTGACGTCGGGTTAGATGTTTTTCTCGTTGTTAATTAAATGAATGTTGTAAATATTTTTCAGTGTTTTTTTCTAATTTATTTAAGTATTACTGTATAATTGTAATAGTTTTTTTTTTTTTTTTTGTTTTAAGTTTAAAAAAAAAAAAGGTGATATTTTAATTTATTAATATCATGTATGTTCTTGATTATCGTTTTTCTTATTCAAAATTATCACAAAAATATAAACGTCGTATATGAATTCGATGAGCGCGAACTCGAATAAAAATGAAACCTACCTATGCTTTAGAGGATTTAATATTTGAAACCGAAGCTAGAGGAGCCGAAAATGGAACGAATGAAGAAATGGACATTTATGCTCAACTTCAACAAAAAGAAAAAGATTTAATATTAGCTGCCGAACTCGGTAAAGCTTTATTAGAAAAAAATAAAGAATTAGAAAAGCAAATAAAAGAAGTTACGGAAGAAAGCAGTAAAACAATCGAGGTGAGTTTTTACTTGAATATTTCCTTTTAAACTCTTTTTGACCAAAGACAATATCCTTAATAATTAAGTGTTTACTTTCAAAATGGTGGACAATAACTTGTACCGATCGTTTCGTCAAACAAATTTATTATTTTAATTTTTTTGCTTGACTCGAATCTAAATAATTTTTTGCGTGTGAACGTTTTGGTATTTTTTTTTTTTTACGGAATTGATTTCTATAATTTACCTTAATTAAATAAATTTTTTTAAATATTTATAGAGATGTTGAGTTAGCCTTATTGAAATTATTTTATCTAGAAAGCATAAAAAGTTTTTTTTTTTTTTAATTTATATGTGTTTTTCAAGCCCGAGCAATTAAATTAAATTAAAAAAAAAAAAAAAGGGATTTAAACTAAGTTTTTTTTCTTGTTTAAAAATAAAAAAATTTTTTTTTTTTTTTATTCTTTATTTGAGGCTAATGAACTTTTATCTGGATATAAAAGTCTTGTAAATTTTCACTATTAACCAATATTAAATACTTATATTATTATTATTAATTTCATGAATAAACTTGTATTTGTCTTTTGAGGACAAAAAAAAAAAAGTATCAAGTTTTTAAATTTTCTTTTGGGTGAAAACATTTGACAAGAAGTATTTTTTATTGTTTCCTCATTAAAAAAAAAAAAAACAAATTTATTAAAATTATCTTTTGAAAAAGAAAAAATGATGAAATTTATAAGTAAAAAAAAAAATTTTTTTACAATTTAACTTGTTGTATTAAAAAAATTAATTAAATTTCAAGATATAGGTAAATGTAGGTGTATATTTTCAGTAGGAGGAAGAAATTTTTTTTTTTTTGTTGACTGGTTAAAGGACATTAAAAAGTTTTTTTTCAAACATAAAATTGTTAACTTTTTTTTGTTTAGTTTTATATTTTATTTAAATTAAAAAATTATGTTGTTTAAAATTTGGTAAAATTTAAAAATTATAACATAAATTGATTTTTTTTTTTGTATTTTGACTGTAGGGATAAAAGATTTTTACAATAATTTATTAATATTTGTCATGATAAATGTCACTTATTGTGAAAACCACGAGGGTGTAAACTTTTTTTTTTTAAAGTGGGCAGAGTGAATATATTAAATTCAAATTTAACATTCGCTTGATTTTAAAAAGAGGAAAATAAAAATAAATTTGAAGAGTCTAGAGTAAAAAGAAACATAATCGGCATTGTATAAAGTGTCTGTCTATAAATAAAAATTTCAGGTATCAGATTCTTACATAGGGTCCGAAATTCCTTAAAGATTTTTTTTTTTTGTTTGTCTGGTGATTTTTACTTTTGTACCAACACAAACGTATTAACAGGTGAATTTAAAAAAAAAAGAGAGAGATAGAAAAGAAAAGGAAAAGGTTTAACTGTATTTATTTATTTAACTTTTTTTTAATTAATAGGAATAATTTTTATTTAAACTCATTATTATGTCATTTCTATATATTTTCATCGTAGTGAAAAACAAAAAATGAAATAATCCTTTACATTATTTTTAATAAACAAAGGTATAGCTGACTAAGCTTTTTAATAAAAAAAAATCCTTGAATACATTATTTTTTCTAGTTTAAGTATTATTATTATTATTATTATTCTTATAGATAAGTTTTTTTTTTTTTCAAACCGTTGTTATTTTATTTTACCTTGAAATAATATTAGCCCTAAGATACCTGAATGAGTCATGCAAATGACAAGTTTCTATAAGTTGGTACTGCCTGTAAATTATGAATCGTAGAATATTACACGTAACTTTTATGTAAACGTTTAAATTTTTTAAGTGTTCTTAAA